TATTGCAGAAATGTTCTGATGTTAAGATACATGCCTTCATTTCAAACTAAACATTAAAACCGAGAGACTGATTCAAGGAACATGAACTATGCTGGTTTATAACATTTGCCGTAAACCTATTTGAATGTACGTGTGGACACACATATATAAGGGAGGACCCATCGATCTCTGCAAGTAAGGGCTAGCTTCAGAGCGTATTCCCAAATGGCTTCAGAAGCAAATAGAATCGCCAGAACCCATTAATGGTGAGAACAATAGACCTACCTCCTCTATTGAGAAACATATTATAGAGACGGGACATAAAATTTGTGCTTACAAGTCTTTTAAACCTAACTATTGGACGTGTTTGGGGCGTATCCTAAAGTTTGTGGAAGCCCTAGCAATTGGAAAGTTTAAACTACCTTTATGCGTTCAGAAACAATTCATCATCACATTAAACCTTCCTTGGTAAATTTTGTTTTGATACTATTGCAGATGTACTATTGTAACAACAGAAGACAAGGGCCAGCCAACAGATCGTTTATTAAAGAAAATCAACACATATTTATAGATTTTCATGTACATTATTATAAGGAAAGAAACACAGTCTTGTGATTGACGGTTTCTCGTTGAACGTTAATCTTTCATCTCTTTGTGGCCGTTTATTGAAGTTCAGATTATCTATCTGCAAATTGTATCCGCGTACGCAAAGTCTGCTGTGGTTGGTGGTTGAATCAGTCTTTGTTCCTATTTTTTCTCACGACCAATATTGTGGACATAAATTAATGTCTTTCCACTAGTTCCTGTCCATTTTACACGAAATTAATGTCTACCAATTCGGCTAGCAGCCAGCTCTGCTATTTGGTTTAGTAATCATCTTCATTGTTATTTTGACCTTCAATATGTCCTTTTAACTTGACCTAAGTCTATTTTCTCACCTCTTTATTAATTTCATAAATATTCCAATGACAAGTCCATGTGTGCTCAGATTGTTCGAAATGTGTTGCGCAAATACAACATTACACATTTCAGACGAATTACGTCTTCTTATTGCTTTGTCTAACTAAATTCATAAAGGGAAATAATTGTTTTAAATTTGTAAACCTGTGTTTCATCCCAGTATAGTATCTGATACTGAAAGTGACGTCACTTCGTCGAGAAATCAGCCTCATTCGTTCGTCACCTCAAGATATATACCTAACTCAGTCATAACGGTGGTTTGATTTAATCACTGAGCTACCATCATCAAAATGATGTGTTTCTTATTGTTTTAATCATGAAACTATATCGGCCGATCATTACATGAACTTGCGCACAAATTTTAATCAGCTTCCAATAAAACTTTGTGCAATGGAGAGAGATTGTACAGAATTTGTTCCCTGTTCAAATGCAGAAACACTAAGTGTCATATGATATACTTCAGCTTATTACTCCTTCGCTTACCTGGGAAGCATCGTTTCAACTGCAGGCGGAATGGACGAAAATGTCAAAGGCAGCTAGAATCGGAAAGGCAAAACACGCCTTCATAAACCTAAAACCAGTTTGGAAATCTTCCGCACTCAGCTTAAGGAACAAGATTCGCATTTTCAACACCAATGTGAAGTCGGCCAGTGCTTCTATACAGATCAAAAACTTGGCCAGCATGTCACGAAAAGAATTTCTAACAGGTTGCAGACTTTCATCAACAGCTGCCACCTTCACTGGCTGGCTCCATACTGAAGATCAAATGGCCAGAAAGAATAAGCAACAAGAAACTACGGGAATGAACTAACCAAGAGCCAATCGCACAACAAATATGTAGGAGAAAGTGGAGGCGGATCAAGCATATGTTGAGGAGGCCGCTGAATGACACTGCACACATGGAATCCAAATGGGAAGCGGCGAGTGGGTCATCAGTTTGAGGGTGACATGGAGGAGATCGTGTGAAGAGGAGATGAAAGAGTTTGGTCAGTTGTGGACCCAGCTGAAGAGAACAGCAGAAAGCAGAAATGTGTTGCTGAAGCCCTAGGTTCCACTCAGAACGCAAGGGAATAAGAATAACAATAACAGCAGAAGGCAAAACACGGAAGCCAAGGTATATTTTCAATTCATCAAACTGCTGTTTATATCTATACAGTTTATATTCTTTAACTAATCACTAAACATGTGATTTTGGTTTACATTAAACGACATGAAATAGAATGTTCAAATATACATATATAGTATTCTGTTGTTAATGCACTATTGAACTGTGTGAATAGTATTCAGACGTTAACATCAACAAATACAATGATTGTTACTGTGACAGTACTATTTCGTTAGAACACATTGTCTGTATCACACCACCAGAACTCTACATAGAGATCTTGTATGAAGAGGAAGTACTTTGGAATTAAACATGCCGAGAATTTCCGTACTGTGTTCACATATTGTCTGAAATAAAGCTTGATTATTATTACTATTATCCTAATCTAATAAAGAGTGCGTCGGTGGCATAGCGGTTAGGACGCTCGCCGACCATGCACATGGTCCGGGGTTCGATCCCTGGCCGGCGCACTCCTTTACCTCACTAAGCCAGAAATAATGCTGTTGAAGAGGAAAGGTTGGGCATGAGGCTAGCAACCCCATCTTGTAAAATAAACACTGCTACAGAAACTTCAAGCCACTAGCTCGAAGCCCTATGTTCCACTGGGGAACGTGAAGGAAATAAAAAAACCTAATAAAGAAAAAATAAGATGCTAGTGTGGTTACTATATAAAAAATTCCCGATCGCTCATCTGGAAATTGCAGTTTTGACTTCCATGCTAACCTCAATCACCGTTAATTAATAATAATACTATGAAAAAACTATTTTTGGCGTGACTATTGAGCGTTAATTCACTAACCACTCAGCAGTGTTTATACCAGTTAAGAAAAATCTACCAATATGCAATATATTCCGAGATTATTCGCGTGTCTTTATGTAAAATAAAAATAACTACACTGGAATACTGCGTATACCGTTTTAATTTCCAGAATGCTACGATAAATAAGACGTATTAGATGGTTGGAGGCAATCGGCAGGAAGCCTTGCCTAACCTAGGTTTCGTGATAGTTGGCACTCGTCAGCAAGGCGTATCTGCAACCTTGAAGGAACTGATGTCTCTTCTGAGATTCGAACCAGCGTCACGCAGTGATTGCTGCAGTCAGAGACGTTACCACTGAGCTATTCGGGCTCGCGATTGACCTCCTGTAGGACTGTAGTGGATACTTTGATTGGACACTAGTAACTAGTGTGGTGTGTCTAGTCCCCTCTTTGGTGCAGACTGAATTCTTGATATAAGTATAAAACTTGAGCACTGTGGTAGAGCATAACTCCATTATGGATAAGATTTTATTTTGATAAGTCACACAGTAATATTAACTGATGACGTTTCGAGCACAAATTATTGCTCATAATCACATCAAGTTACACAACTTTTTCCTTCATTTATAAATGAAACTATGAGCAATAATTTGTGCTCGAAACGTCATCAGTTAATATTACTGTGTGATTTATCAAATAAAACCTTATCCATAATGGAGACTGAATTCTATCAGTCAGGTTTGCAATATGGCCACCATGCATATGGATCATCACTGAACAGAGCTTGAAATGGCAGTCACCTCTCTATCCCAACCTCATCGACTTTGAAAAGGCCTTCGACAAAGCAGCGTTGATCGATGGGTGATTTGGCAACTACTTCGCTACTACCAAGGGGTGCCGCCAACAATTATACGTCTCATCCAACAGTTGTACGACAATGCTGCATCCCAAGTAATCCACAAGGGGAAACTCACGGACTCCTTCGAAGTGAAGACGGGAGTAAGACAAGCCTGCCTACTGTGTCTAATGATTTTCCTGATTGCAGTAGATTGGATAATGTGACAAACAGCGGGCAATAAGGAAACAGGCATAAAATGGACTCACACAAAAAACTTGGAGGATCTGGACTTCGCCGATGATGATATATGTCTGATTTCCCACAAACTGGAAGATATGAAAGTGAAAAGCAGCAAGTTGGCAGAAGAAGCACCAAAGATAGGCCTTCAGGTGAACATGGAGAAAACAGAGGTGATGAAGATTCCTGGCCAACAGCAGCAGACAACAATCAGCCAGCATAAATGGGAGAAATCTGAAAGAAGCAACCTCCTTTACCGATCTGGGAAGCTTCGTTTCAACTACAGGCTGACGGAAGTGATGAGGATGTTAAAGCGAGGATCGGGAAAACCAGGCAAGCCTTCATTTCTCTCAAGTCTGTGTAGGTCAATAACACAGCATGAAAAACAAGATGCGGATTTTCAACTTCAATGTGAAGTCAGCGCTACTTTATGGATCAGAGACTTGGCACCGCGTCACGAAGGGCACTTCCAACAAACAGCAGTCTTCGCTGAATACCACTCAAGATCAGATGGCTAGAAAAGATCAGCAACAGGGATCTCTGGGAACGAACCAACCCAACAGGAACCAATTGTGGCAGAAATATGCAGAAAGAAATGGAGGTGGATTGGCCATACTCTAAGAAAACCATCAAGTGACATCACTAGACAAGCCATTGCTCGAGTGGAACCCGAATAAGAAGCGGCGAGTTGGTCGTCAGTACTACGAAACCAATGATTCGCATGAACGTGAAGTATAAGCTACCACTGCTGACTGGTCTCGTCAATGTGCATCTACCAAGTCACCTGCTCGTGTGGAGATAGGTATATAAGCCGTACACAGCGTTTGCTATCCGAACGTATCATCAAACACTTACCCTAATGGTTTTATTAAGAAAAAAGATCCCCCACCTCAGCTCTATTCGGAAACACCTGACCGAATCTGGACACCAAGCTAACCCACAAAGTTACATATACAGAATACGTGGGAATCTTGCTTAAAGCAAAGTACAAATCAAACTCCAGAAGCAATGTATAATATATAAAATATTTATTTTTTTTTTTTAATATCAATGCTATTTTAATTTCTAACCGACTCACGAAGTTGGTCATCTAAAATTTACAATTCTAATGACAAATCTTTGGAGGTATTCATTTTGTTGCTAAGAAAATTAACTATACATTATATGCGAGTGTACAACTTGCGAGAATGATATCGCCAAAAAGAGGAGTGTAGCTTCTTCGCTGAGCGCCTTTAGCTTTTATAAACAAAAGGACTTTTTATGAATACATTTATAATGTGTGTGTTATTGGCATATACTTTGTATTACCATAGGCATTGAAAATTAAAACAAAAAAAGGAAATTCTTGGTGTTTTTTATGTGGGTTGACAACGACAAAAAAAAACAAGCAGGAGAGAAAAAAATAATAATATGTTTGTGTATATAGATTAGTATTAATGCTGATTATTTAATTCATCAAAATTTTAAATCTTAGAATCAACAAGAACAAACACTGTCTCAACTTGGTATTTTTTGTTTTATACTGTTAGCGCGTTTTTATTTTGTGACGGGACAAATATTCGCAGAAAACAGTTAAACAAAATTTAATTTTAAGTTAAATAGATTGTTACCAACCAGTGTGTGAATGAATGAAAATCACTGAAAAATTGTATGTATGACGGTGGTAAAGAGAGACAGACTGTAAGCTCAATTCTAAACAAACGAAAATGATGTGCACCGCCAGCCGTAGCACTGCGTCTATTCCTCGTCACGATCCCGTCTCTGAAAATGTGAATAGAGAGAAATAGAAGTACAGAATTCATTTTCGATGATGACGATACGGTGGTGTATAAAAAGTCAACACCTATGTAAACCAACAGTGATATTGCCTTCAATTAGATCTTCTTCAGGTCAGGCTTAACTCTAATATACCTACATAACTTTACAAATAAACATTAAAATGTATGCACCAAGCAAGGTGTTTTGTCAATAGGATTATAAGATTGTGCATATAAATTGTGCAGTTGTGCAAAAAAGCCTTTATTCACTAACTAGCAATTCAATGGCGACTTGTCAAGTGAGATCTCACTTCAAAGACTTTCCAGGAATGTATACGAAGAAGTTTTTACACAGCAAATCTATGTTTGTCATTCTCTAGTGGACGAGCTGTTAATAACGTGAAACCTAAAGTTAGTAAGAGCCATTGGATTTCTACCACCTCATCTGAACTGATTGACGCAAGAAGACTGATTCCAGCGAGCTCCGATTATGATGAGGAGCGAAAGCTACTCAAACGCAAACTAACAAGAAGCCTTCGCAACGACCGCGAACAGTGGTGGGCGACAAAAGTGAAAGAGATGGAAAAGGCATCGGCGATTGGTAACACCAGACAACTATTTAGACTTATCAGGGAAACAGGTGGCAAAAGGCAAATGATAAGTGAAACAATCTCTGAGAAAAATGGCACCATAATTAGCTTCCAGGACAGACCACTGGAACGCTGTAAAGAACACTATGAGGAGCAGTTTAATTGGCCTACAGCCACACTCAACTCACCGAATATCCGACACCTCCCTGAATGGGATACAGACAGGTCCTCCGTCCCTAACTGAGGTTACCACGGCTGTCACTAATCTGAAACGAGGCAAAGCAGCAGGACTTGACGGAATGACTCCAGAAGTATTTAAGTACGGTGGAGACAGTTTATTGTCTGCGTTAACTAAGGTACTAGGCGGTGTCTGTGAATCAGAGGGAGTCTCGCCGGGTTGGTGTAAGTCATTGATTATCCCGATATACAAGAAGGGAGACAAGTGTTCCCGTGATAATCACAGGGAGATAAGCTTGACTAATATATCTAAAGTTCTAGGCTCAATAATAATGCGTAGACTTAGCGGTTCACCGGAGGAACAAACACGAGAGAACCTGCTGGTTAGTACTATAACACAACTGCGAAATAACAGATCCATTTGATATTATTTTTTCCTTCTGCATTTTGAATGGGCCATAGGACTTCAAGCTTGAGGTTTGAGGCTTCAGTAGCAGTGGTTTATTTTGTCTTTAAGGGGTGGGGCTGCTAGCCTCAAGCGCTCACTACCGAACGGGGAGTCAAACCCCGGACCACATAAGGTGTGGTCGCCAAGCATTCTATCATTCTACCACTGACTAAAGCATCGACGCCCAAACTAACAGAGGTGGCTGACAGTAAAAATAAAGTAGTGTATGAACAGACTGTACTCTACGGAAATTTTGTACTCTTAATATGACTGACAATATGTGCATGCAATGAACATACCCTTTTAGAATTGAGGATGACGAGTAGATGGCGGAATATTTCCACAAAGTCAATGAACAAATCCAATGTGTGCCTGAAAATAAAGATCAGTATTATTATTTTAATGTTAATAATCAAGCATATTGATAAAATGATGCTTACGAGAGGTCGGTCGGTCGGTTTTCGACATAGAACTTTGCACATATGTGCGGCAGTTCAAGTCGCCACAATCTATGTAGCACGCAAAGCAAGAGAAGGAAGTAGAAGAAATGCATAATGGAAACAGTAAACAGAGGTGTGAGACAAAGGAATAGTAATAACGAAGAACAAAAGTTTAATTGGAAATCATAAGTCACAAGGAGTGGATGCATCTGCGCCAGCCATTGAGAACGATTTTGAGCCATGTCACCAATTGTTTCCAACCATTGGTTTTTACCATCCCGAGGGCCCCAACCAGGAAGTCTACATCTTCCTACGTGGCTTAGATTAACTGTTGTGGATTTCATTGATTGGTGCCATGTTTTGGTTTGACCGCCGCTAGCTCTTTTCCAGCCTGACCCTATATCAGCTAACATTGCCCGTTGAGGAAGGCGATGACTAGGCATACGTAGCACATGTCCTAACCATCTCAGTCGATTTAATTTCACAGTCTCGTCGATTGATTTCCCCGCCTTACCTAGCACTCGACGCCTAACCTCAATATTGCTCATCTTATTATACCACTTCACGCGGGAGATAGAACGCAGACACCTATGATCGAAGACAGCTAATCTGTTCATGTCTTCTGCTCTCAATGGCCAGGTCTCACAGCCATAAAGGAGGACGGAGCGGACTGTTGAGCAGTACACACGCCCTTTGGTCGATAGTCGGATATCGCGTCTACGCCAGAGACGGCAAAAACTGGCGAATGCGAACCTAGCCCTCTGTATTCGTGCTGAAATTTCGTCGGAGATCAACCCGTTGGGGCTGATGGTACTTCCCAAGTAAGTGAAGCGGTCAACGTGTTCTACCACTTCACATCCTATTTCTAATCTAGGGGTCGATGAAGTCCAATCCTGCAGCATCATCTTACATTTTATAGGGGCGAATCGCATGCCAAACATGCGGAGATTGTTGCTCAGGGTGTTCAGTAGACTCTGCATTTTGTCAGAGTCCTCGCCTAGAAGGACTATATCGTCCGCATATTCTAAGTCAACGAGATTCTTCCCTGGTAGCAAGTCAATCCCTGAGTCGCTGAAGTGAGTTAGGGTTAAATCCATTAGTACATCTATGATGAAATTGAATAGGAATGGGGATAATGGGCATCCTTGACGGACGCCACTAGTCGTCACCACTTCAGATGACAACTCGCCATAAGCCCTCACCTGGCTGCATGAGTACGAGTAGAGTGCCTTAATCAGTGCAATGTATTTTCTTGGCATTCCCTTTACAGCCAAGCATCGCCAGAGAACCTCCCGGTCGACAGAATCGAATGCCGCCTTTAGGTCAAGAAATATAATGATTGTCGGACGCCGGTAGGAATGCCTATGTTCTAGAATCTGTCGAAGGGTGAAGATGTGATCAATACACCCCCTACCTGGCCTAAAACCTGCCTGGTTTTCTCGTGTTTGTGTCTCCCGAGCACCACTTAATCTACGCAGTATTATTGAACCTAGGATTTTAGATACTATATTAGTCAAGCTAATCCCTCTGTGATTATCACAAGACGACTTGTCCCCCTTCTTGTATATCGGGATGATCAGTGACTTACACCAACCCGATGGGACTTCCTCTGATTCCCAGACGCTGCCTAGAACCTCCGTTAACGCAGACAGTAAACTAACGCCTCCGTACTTAAATATCTCTGGAGTCAATAAATCAGGTCCCGCTGCTTTGCCTAGCTTCAGATTGGTGACAGCTTTAGTAACCTCGGTTAAGGACGGAGGACCTGTGTCTATCTCCCATTCAGGGAGGTGTTGGATGTCCGGTAGGTTAAGTGTGGCTGTGGGCCAATTAAACTGCTCCTCATAGTGTTCTTTCCAGCGCTCCAGACGTCTATCCTGGGAGCTAATTATAGTGCCATTTTTCTCGGAGATTGTTTCGCTTATCATTTGTTTTTTACCACCTGTTTCCCTGATAAGTCTGAATAGTTGTCTGGTGTTGCCTATCGCCGATGCTTTTTCCATCTCTTTCGCCTTTGTCAACCACCACTGTTCACGGTCCTTGCGGAGACTTTTCGTAAGTTTCCTCTTGTGCAGCTTTCGCTCCTCATTGAATTCGGAGCTCGCCGGGATAAGTCTTCTAGCATCTATCAGTTCGGATGAGGCAGTCGAAATCCAGTGGTTTTTACTCACCTTTGGAATTACCTTATTCACAGCTTTTACGGCTGTATCTATGGCTGACTGAATATTCTTCCAGGCTTCTTCAGGGTGAGCGCAGCTGTCAAACTCAGATATGTGTTTAGCTAGTTCTTCCTCAAATAGGGACTTAGTTCCCAGGTCGAGCTGGGGACGTGATGGGTTTACCGCTCGCTGTTTCCTACGTCCGTTCAGTCGTAAGCACACACGAGCGCGGACCAGTGCGTGATCGGTATCTACACACGTGTTCCAGAAGGGCTTACGAGAGGAAATTATGGAAAATTAATAGTCAAAATATATCTCAGTTGTAGCACCAAGAGGGCTGTAACTACTCACACAAACATGAATTGTTTTCAATTAAAAAGGACAGAAGTGATGATGCAGAATAATTCAGGACGTAAATCTCAGTACATGAAATCAATTCCCAAGAAATATATAGCTAGATATGACTTTTTTAGCGCTGCTGCTGGTTTGATTAGTTGGAATCACAGTAGAGCATGTTGACCACTTCACTCAGCCCCCAACGGGCTGATCGCTGACAAAATCTCACCACGGATACAGAAGGCTCGTATTGCAATTGTCAACTTACGCCATCTCTCGCTTAGGAGACATGATATTCGCTTGATTGTCGATCAAAGGACGTGCGTGTACTGCACAGCGAGAGTTCGCTCCGTCCTCATTTATGACCGTGAAAGAGGCATGGCCATTGAGAGTGTAGAAGACATAAAAAAAGCTGGCTAGCTGTCTTAGATCATAGGTGTTTGCCTTTTATCTATCATGTAGAGTGGTATTATATGGTGAATAATACCGAGACTAGGCTTCGGTCGAGTTTCAAACAAGGAGGGAAAATCGATCAATTCGGTTCTGAGGGTACATTGACTGAGATGATGAGGACATGTGTTACGTGCACCTAGTCATCGCTTACCTCGACAGCCAATGTTGGATGACATAGGATGGATCAGGTTGGAAAAGAGATAGTGATAGTCAAACCAAAAGATAGCTTCATCACTCAATGAAATCCATAGCAGTTAGTTTGAGCCAGCCACGTCGGGAGCTGTAGACTAGCTGGCTGGTTGGAGTCGTCGGGATGATGAGAACACACCAATGGTTGGAGACAACTGGTGAGGTGGCTCAAAAGCGTTGTCAACGGCTAACAAGCATTCACTCTTTGTAATCTCTTTCGATGTTACTATTCTTTCTCTTTCACATTTGTTTATTATAGTCCTGAATTTTCTTTCTTCCTTTGTGTTCTCTACAATGACCTGTGCAAAGTTCCATGTTGAAACCAGTCAATCATTCAGCATGGAGGTCAGCGGAGAAGTGTAGCAGTTCAAGCTGCCACATCCTATGTAGCATATAGACTAATACATCTCAAGTACAAATTTCAAATTTAACTTAGTCTAAGTGCACAAAGAATAGATCTTTTAGAAAAAGGCACTCTCGTTGTATCGTTTGGTTCATATTAGAAACACAGCAACCATCCTACTCACTCTAAATTAACTGATTAAAACTTCATATTTTTTTCAAACCAAATTACCACTTTGATACTTATCACAATAGCTTTGAATCTACGCAACCATTTATTCCGTGCAAGAGTTACAGAATAACAGAATATAAATACAAAAAACTTACCATACGAAATCTGTATCTCCACAACGACGTTTCTCAACAATCAACTGGGTGTCGAAAACTACAAATGCACAGAATATAGCCAATCCAATGTAAAGTTCAGCCTCATATATAGCCGGTGAACGAATAAACAAATTCATAAGACTAAAAGTAGCCAGCATACTTGTTGCAGACATTAGAGCAGCTGAAAGATCAAATAATTAATTACGGGATTATATTAAGTAGTATAATCATATAATATAATATACAGTAAGTGATAAAACTGACCACTATAGCAATGAGTTCCAATATGATTTAAACTGACACACTAGCAATGAGCTAATCTGACAACCGAGAACATTTCAAAGTGTCTTGTCTCAACCTCACTCCCGTATTCACCTTTAACGTCTCGTTGAGTTTTTCGTTGTGGATCATCTGACACGTGGCACTGTCATATAGCAAGCTATTGAATGAGGTTGATAAAGACTTGAGCACTGTACGTCGCAGTGTTGAAAGTTTCCAAATCAATTCAATAATAATTTATCAGGGTAATTAGTAAGTTTTAAAGCCACTCTTATGTGCTTCATTTTCTTTCTTAGATTTTTCTTGGTATTATTCAGTTTTTCTGCCCTACTACTTAGCCAATTCATCAACCATATTTTTTCCGACATAGAATGAGAAGAACCGGAATCCGAAAATCGGTTTGAATGTGTAGGTTCTCTGTAGACCCTAGCGTTTAATTTCCCACCCCTCAAAATGCCAAACTATTGACTTTTCCTTTAGACATAAAAGTAATCTACTACGACAGGTTAATTCACTCGATGTTTGTGGCATAGAGGAAACTGTTACAGAAAATAGCTCGGTATCGTTCTATCCATTAACCTTACTTGGTCATCCCATATTTTATCGATCTCCAAGAAAATGATCCGTCTAAGCTACTAAATTGAGAAGGTAAAACTGTCTGGAATCACTCAACCTCTGCTTTTACAATTTGCTAACTCGTGTATCTTACCTATTATACTTTACTGCTCCCCACCGTTAGTCTTTCTTGGTCTACTGAAAAAGGACTATGTCATTTTGAGAAGGGTATTAAAGGTTGTTAGCAGGGCCAGTGGTGTGCAACTTAGTCAGCTAGTCACCACATTAATTTTAGACATGTGAACTCATGCGTGAAATAGTCTAAATCTATATTGTCTGACCCTCAGCACTCAGCCCCCCCTATTCTCAACTCTCTCCTTGCTGTATCATCTAGTAGAACCAGAAATCAGTACAAAACACTACATGCTGTTACTAACAAGTATAAGAACTCAACGATACCATATTTGGCCAGCCCATGTTATATGTGATAGAGACAATGTAAAGCGTGAAACTTATGAATCACTATGTTGTTAGCATAATAATCGGCTCTTATATTATCTCCTATTTGCCACCTATGGTGACACTATCTCAGGTAAACTGACAATCTTGGCTACTAACCTCATTATTATTTTTTACAATTTTCTTTTTTGTATATATATGTCTTCACATGGCTTCACTGTCACAAAAAATACCATATTAGCAATCCTAAAATATTTTTCCTAAAATTATTTTTAAATGTTGTTAGATAAAATTGACTGATAATCTTAACTACTAACATTATTGCCACCACTTTACAATCTTTCATGTTTATGATCTAATTGTCACTACTAATACCGAATAAGAACTTCATTAACAATCCTGTACCTTCATAATACTTTTTGCTATTATTCGAAAAATTAGATGCAATAATGTACACTATAACATCGTTACTGTTCTGGAATAAATCACACTATTATTGTTATCATGAATCACAATAAGTTGTGTTCAAAATTTTGTCATCCATTAAAAAGTATTGTTTCACTGCGTGACGTCTAATAAACAAATTAATATGGGGTTATATACTACCTACCACACTGTTTTACGCAAATCAATTTTTTCTTTCTGCATTCATTACACATGATCCATTTTGAAAACTCAAGAAAGAAAAAGGTAGAAATACTACTGTCCTTTAAAAGTCGATAATCATACTGATTTGTGTAAATCATATAAGCAACAAGTTAGATGACTCCATAAAATTTCAAAATACAATAGGTTTCGAATTCCCCACAAACTAACCCTTGAAAGTGAAATAACAGCCAATACTCGTAGTATAAGAAGCAACTTAAGTTGCGATAACGATTTAGAGTTTGAGACAATGGAAGCCGGGGATTGAATTACAGCGGGAAAACCATCAGTCACTGGAAAGCCGATGCATTCAGCTGATAAATTCGGTAAAAGACCTATCGCTAGCTACCACCTATCATACTAAACAACAACTTTGCCTACCATGGAAAATTATCATTATGTTGGATAGTCTAAGTACTTTTTCCACCAAACTTATCGCTTCAAAAATGAATTCAAATGTAAAACTCATATCTTAAGTCAGTTAAGCTCACAGTAAAATTTGTTATCATAAACGACAAAATAAACTCGAAATTTTAGACACAATATCCCATGAAGGACTGGCAGACACAAAAAAATTGAATTATCCGAACATGAACAATACAATAAGAAAACAGAGCACATTTAGTCCCTGAAACATCTATGTAAACAGATGGGAATAAAAGAGAAACTAAAACTTTGCTTCAAATGTAATATATTAAAAATGTCTAAACTCACCGCCAAGGTAAATATAGTATCGCTTTCTGGTAAACAACGCTGCCAAAGTGAATGAGACGAAAATCAAAGCGGTGCCCAGGAGGGCAGTTGGAATAGTATCAGGATTGATGATTGACACAATTTGTAGAAGGGGGCCAAATCCAATGCCTGTAAGGATTACATGTAATTAAGAAAATTAAGCTACTTTGACAAACCTGTAGGTAAAAAACGTGGAAATGCATGCACGATATCTGAAGTGCTTAACAGTCAATCCAGAATGTGAAATCTAGCTGACAGTTGATAACTAAATGTTACAGTCGAGGCCACTTATCGCGGCACTGCAATCATTTAATTAGGAAGTAAGATAGAAACCAGTAACGCGAAATATGTGTGGATATAGGTGGGTTTGCACCGTACTGTGATACTAGGGTCATTTTAGGTGAAGTGTTTACAGTAGTGAATGCCTCCCAACTATTTTCAAAGGTCAGTAGCAATCAGCAATAAGAATCTCATACACTAGTCAATTCATTTTGTTGTCCATGTGCTATCAAAACCGGCAACATGCGTAAGTTCTGACCCTGAGTTTGACCGAAAAAACGTACAACATACATACTGAGGACTTAAAGTACAAAAATCAACATTGGTGGCTGCTTGAAAACCCATCTGTAATTATTCACCTAAACTATTACCAGTGATTCAGTTGTAGAACGCTCACCAACTACGTCTCATGGGGTCCGGATTTGATCCCCGGTCAACGCAGTATTAAGGCTGTGCATGAGGCCAGCAACCCCATCCCGTAAAAATTAAATTACTGCCACTGAAACTCTAAGCTCCACTCGGAACGTAAAGGAATAAAATTAAAAGTAAGTAGATAAAGTTACTAATTTAGTCGTCACCTGAATCAATTCAATGAAAGGCTTGTCATACCGCCGCAGGTGAGGATTAAGGAACTTCCGTTCTCTTCTAAAAGAGCTTCAGAAGGCAATATTGCTTTTAATTTTCAGTCCTGAGTTCAAGTCCCAGCTGCATCTACTTCATTGGGAATCAGTGGAAGCTCTAACATAATAATGAGATGCATAGCCCAACATATGACAAATGTAATCAGGGTAACCGCGTTCCACAAAAATAGAATGGTAGAGTTTGTGTATTTTAAGTGAATTAAACAGTCAAACTGTATCTGAGGTATTAAAGGATTTTGACCATAGGGTGGGTATATGCATTCTATCTCTTGTATTAGAGGTGGCGCAATATAAAAAGCAAGAAAGGCAAAACAAGCCACTTACCTGTAGAGAAAGAAAATAGAAAGAAGGCACCAAGTCTTGAGTTCAGTGTTTCTCTTGAATGTTGAGTAAAATAGATGAATAAAGAGCAACCAAGGGATACAATGAATGACAAAATCATTAGACCAGTGACCATAGACTGAAAAGAATGAAAACAAGCATGTTCAGCAACTAGTCATTTTTGTACATATTGACGTAATATTGAATAGAAAAAGACAAATTTTGATTTGGCCACCCGTGAATCTTTTCCAGTCTAAACCAATATTGACTAATATTACCCTACAAGGAAGGCGATATACTCGCTATCCCAATAGATAAGTGGCACCACAACCACATAGACTGACTTCCCTTCCTCAGCCAGCACTCCACGCCAAACCCTAATCTCACCACACTACACAGATTATGATGGAGGGTAGAACGAGAACATCTGTGAACAAAGACTCAACCACGAGGTCTTCCACTTTCAGCCATCATGTCTCACAGTGATAAAAAAGGATAGACTGAACTATTATGTAGTACACATGTCGTTTCGCTGGATAATCTGATATCATTACTACGCCAGAGACGACCTAAGATGGCAAATGCCAAAGAAGCCCTTTGTATCCATGTTCAGACTTCGTCAGCAATTAGTTTATTAGGGATGATGCAACTTCTTAAGTAAAAGGGATGACGATCAACACGCTGATTCACTTCACTCTCTATTTTTAAACTGAGAATCCGTGCAAAACATTCCTGCAGTGGTCAGGGGCAAGCCATACGTCAAAAACATTATGATTTCTGAACAAGATGTTCAAAAGACTATGCATCTCGTCAACTATGACAGCGATGTCATCTGCATAACCTAAATCTACGACTGTATCCTAGTCAAAAGTCAGTCTCCAGAGCTCGAGTAATTCGGCCGAATCACTGAACCCGGTTAGGGTTATATCCATTAGTACATCGATAATAAAAATGAAGGAACTGAGGATTCTTGACGACCACCACCTAGTAGGTTCCATCAGATATTATCATAAGACAAACTCAATCATTAGTTACATGAGTTATTCAACTCAGGAGACAATGTTCCAGGAGCCACTAGTCCCACAGAATAATATACACGAATGCGAATGTACTGAACATCGGCTGATTGGCCTGGTTATAAAGCCAAAAACCTTCACATGATTAGTAGTGACTGACTGCGTAACCAAATTCGGTTACGTACCCATGTAGCAACATACTACCTAATGGATAAATTCATGTATGTCTCTCGCACGTTTTAAATCAACACAAAAATTAACAATCTTCAGAAATACCTAGATTTGTGACTTACCTGTAGAAAGTGAGATATCTGAAACAAGTAAGCTCCAACACATGATAATATCAAACCGACGGATAAAGTGCTGTAAACGTTCTTCAAGTGAACCTGGACATTTTTGTCCCTGAAAATAATGAGTGAGTAAATATAACGAACTCACAGATCTCTAAAATCAAAAACAGTACCCAGATTCATTCTCTGGAACTGAGAAGATTGATACACCCTGGCCATTAATCTACGTGTACTTCAGACAACTATGAATCCAATGGTGAGACTTTTAAAACAAACGTGTTCGATTTCAGTGTTCAATTTTCTTCCAATTCCTTAAGATTAACGTTAACGTCTCTATATGCTATAAAGAGTATGAATTAATATTTTCAAAGAGTCCTGTCATAGTCACTTGGAATACAAGTGAATAATGGGTCTAGTTTGTATACTGAGAAGGTTAGTGAGCTTTAATCCGATTGACTGAATTCGTCATTAAAGAGTGCCTTACGCCTCAAGTGATGTCGTAGGTCCACTATATATAGCACTCTAGCCGTATACATTTCCTCACAATTATTTGTCTGTAGCACTCTTCATAAAACACTAGGTGCTGAACTTCACTGTTTGGATCTACTTGTTTGGTTGGAAGTACGTGGTCAAGCGTCCAAGCCATTTGGCATGGTCTTGTGTAAATTCCGGTCGTTAGTGCGTAAACCTCTTGCATTAGATGTAGCTGAACTCTTATAAAACCAATTCATGTACCCACATTGTACTTTATGTGATTCGTATTTTTTAAATTCGATTTCACTGACAATAGATTCCTGGAAGTTTCCACTTGAGCTTCTTAATACAATGCTGTTAGTATTTGGTTGTATACAGCTTTTAGCACATCAAAGAATGTGAAAACGTGGATTCGTCATAGTATATTAGTCGGATTTAAAGGCAGTACGCTATAAGTACACAAAATTACCTGGCTGAACAACTACTGTCCCTCATCGTTCTTGACCCAAAACATACCTCGTATTTTGGACAACCAATTTGTTGTTTTGGTTTGTCTCTAGTCTCAGTGCAGTGACTAATGGGAGAGTTAAAGGATAGACACTTGCGTTTGCATTCAGCGTATCTTACGAAAACAGTAATCTACGTTGGTGGCACAACTGTCAGTACTCTCGCCGACCATGCACAAGGTCCGGGGTTCGATCCTCGGCCAACGCGCAGCTGATTTCATTGGTCGGCCTGCAGAATTCGGGCTATCAATGTCATCCTGGAGAGAATAAAGGATGCACTGGATACAGAACTCCGACCAGAACAAGCTGGATTCAGGAAAGGCAAATCATGTTCTGACCAAATTGCAACTCTACGCATCATCATCGAACAAAGCATGGAATGGCAATCAAACCTCTACCCCAACTTTATAGACTTTGAGAAGGCCTTCGACAGCGTTGACTGCGAAGTAATTTGGAAACTACTCGAGTACTACGGAGTACCGCAAATATTCATCAACCTTATTCAACAGCTGTACGACAACGGCACATGTCAAGTGATCCACAACGGAAAACTCAGCGAGGCGTTTGGAGTAAACACAGGAGTCAGACAAGGGTGCTTATTATCACCAATGATATTCCTTATTGTGGTGGACTGGATTATGCGTCAGACAGTGGGAAACCAGAAGAAAGGGATATCCTGGACCGATGTGAAGAACCTAGAAAACCTGGATTTCGCAGATGATTTATGTTTGAGGTCACACAAAATCGAAGACTTACAAGCGAAAACCGACAAAATAGTCAAAGAGGCAGCAAAGACAGGACTCCAGGTGAACATAGACAAGATGGAGGTTATGAAAATAACCAACCGACAACAACAACAGCAGCAGCAACATCCAGCGCCAATCACCATCAACGGGAGGGATTTGAAAGAGGCTACTTCACTCACTTATCTAGGGAGCATTGTCTCAACTACAGGAGGGACGGACGAGGATGTCGAATCGAGCGAGGATCGGGAAGGCGAGAAACACATTCATCAACCTGAAACCAATCTGAAAATCTTCGTCACTCAGCATCAACAGCAAAGTGATTCGGATTTTCAATACAAACGTCAAGTCAGCCGGTTCTTCTATACAGATCAGAAACTTGACGGGTCACAGAGAATATTTCCAACAGGTTACAAACCTTTATCAACAGCTGTCTTCGTTCTATACTGAAGATCAGATGGCCTGAAAGAATCACAAACAAGAAACTATGGGAACAAACAAAACAGGAACCAATCGCTCAACAAATATGCAGGAGAAAGCGGAGGTGGATTGGACGCTCGCTGAGGAGGCCGTTGGGTGACATCGCGCGTCAGGCCATAGCTCGAGTGGAACCCGAAAGGGAAGCGGCGAGTGGGACGTCAGTGCAAGGGTGACATGGAGGAGATCGTGTGAAGAGGAAATGAAACAGTATGGACTAACATGGATGCAGGTGAAAAGTACAGCACAAGAGAGAAGCAAGTGGAGGCGTGCAGTTGAAGCCCTACGTTCCACTAGGAACCCGAGGGAACAATAATAATGTCACATGCTGAAAATTCCATACTTGTAGCAAAAACACGGTGTGGAATCAAGCTATAATCAAAAAAGACATATTTAGCCAATATTGTTTTGATTTTTTTTGATTTACAGCTTGATTCCACACCGTATTTTCAGTACAAGTATGGAATTTTCAGCATGGATATCGGTAGCTTAAATTCAGGCCGACCATAGATATCGGGTGTGCGCCGGCAGGAGATCGAACCCCGGACCATGTGCGTGGTCGGCGAGAGTCCTAACCACTGTGCCACCGACGCCATTGAATCGGGTCCCAGTGGCTGAATGGTATACGAGCTTGCCTTGTAGCCGGAAGGTCCCGGGTTCGAATCCCAGTGGGTGCGTACTGCCGATGATTCCCAAACTAGGATGAAACAGCAGCTGTCCAGTACTCCCTGGTTTTCAATGGTTCTCTAACTGATATCAGTCCGTGATCAACATGAGTTTAGATCCTGATCGTAAAAACAATGATTCTTTAGATCCAAACAGAATCAATGCCTATGCCCCTGACGTCTAAAAATCTGCTCAGCTTCTTGTCAATGTCCGATTCTGTGGACCCTACACGGATTCGTCAGACACCTTATGAGTTAGCACGTCTAACATGTTTTACTTCTTTGGACCTTTGGAGCCACTACTGGTCAAACTGTCACCCATATACTTCACAATAATTTTTAACCTGAGCACCACTATACTCTGTTATGCCTTGGCTGTGCAAACTTTTAGTGAAACTAAAACTTTCATTTTTCACTCGAATTCCTTGCTCCCCTAAAGTCTTTTTGTGCTGAAGGAGGAAAGGCAACATTTCGTTTGGAGAGGGTTATATTTTCATCAGAGGCATTATAGTTTTCGTAGTAAATCTAATAAGGTTGGCATTATACATTGCAAAGTGACATCCTGAGAACTGTATAGCTTTTCCTTGTATACCTTTTGTAGATTTATTTTCAATGGTAAATAATACTTGTGTTTTGTCTCTCTTTGCAGTTCCTCAGAACGGTGTTTTCCCCCTTGAATAGCTTTTAGCTAGGCATGGATGCAGAACGCACCTGAATATTGGTTGTTTATCGGTTGACTATAGTCGCCAGCAGGAAACCAAAGGAAGTTAGGGTTGCCGCTCAACCTTGGCGATGACCTTGGTGACAGCTTTTCAATTTAACACTCCTATGACCCCTTTCTGATAGCCTATGTTGTAAATCAACTACTAAAACCGTAGAAACAGTTTGAATTTACCAACATTTTACGATCATGACTTGCAATCAATAACACTCACGGTTGTCGCCATTGGTAGAGCTGTAAGCAGAAAAAACAAACATCTCTCATTTTGATGGTGCTTGTGAAACTGCCATGCTTCTCATATAAATGCAACTGTTTGTAGGAAACATATGTTACTATTATTACCCGACCTTCAGCATCGTGGTAATGAAGGCAGCTGTCGATGAAAGTCTGTTTGAAATACTTCTCGTGTTATACCAACTCTCTGAACCGTGGAGATGCGCTGACTTACTTGATATTATAGTTCAAAATCCAAATTTCGTTCTCTATGTTGTGAGCAGAAGATTTCCTCGCTTAATTCAGACTGATAAAGGCCTGCTTCTCCTCTCCTATCTTAGCTTTGACGTCCTGATCCTCGCCACCATCTGTTGAAAGAGCTGCCGGGTTAGGTGGGATAAGTGACTTTCTTCACATTTTCTCGCTGATAGTTATTGGTGTTTCTTGTTTTTGATTAGGTGTCTTCATTATCTCTATCTTTTCCAAGCCCGTCTTTGTTATTTGCTGCATCTGCAGATATGCTGACTTTCATCTGCAGATCTACGAGCTCCCAGGAATTCAGACTTAAGTCATCTGCGCAGCCCGGATATTTTAGAGTCTTCTTATCTGTCTAACGTATTCCTATCCTCTTGCTCCTCACGGTTTGTTGTATGATTCAGTCCATTATAATCAGGTGATTGTAAGCAGCCTTATCTTACTGCTGTCTTCACCCCAGGGGTCTCTGAGTCTTCCATCGCGGATCACCTGACGCGCGGCATTGTCATATAGATTGAATGAGGTTGATAAAGACTGAGGAAACTCCTTCGTGTCCAGGTAGTTTACAAATCACTTCATGGTCGAAGCTTCAGAGTCGATGAAGTTGAGAAAAAGCCTTGACTGCTATTCAATGCCCTCATCGATGATAATCACAGTGCTAGAATTTAGTCCACATGCGAGTTGCTTTTCATAAATCTAGTTTGCTCCACAAGTAGTTCTGCATCCAGAGTATCCTTCAGACTCTCCTGGATGACGTGGATTAGTGCATTACAGGTGGCTGATGATATCACGATACCACGGATGCCCTTACAAGGGCTTAAGTCGCTACGTGCATTATCTTCGTAGATCTAGCATTCTGCCAAGTAATTCGGACATTATGTGTAATCCTTGATTCACAAATCACAGTTTTTTCAACCTATTAGACTTCAGCCATCAGAACGCAAACTTTCCATACTGCGGATGACATGGCCGTTGAGACGCTATATTATTCGGCCAATAATACAGATATCTGTCATTTAGGTAATCATTCCTACCTTAGCTCAAATAGTGTGGTTAATTAATAGATAATTACTTCATTAGGCGTGATGTCATACATCACTGAATCCCTTCAAATGCCACATTTATCGTCTTCATTAATTTTGCTGCAGACCTCGGGACTCAGAAAAGTTATCATTGACCTGATAAATATGTAGTTGCAATATGTAGATGGAAGAACAAGCCGCCGGCAGGTTACCG